GCCATCGTTGTCAAAAAATGACGTCATCAACAATATCACCTTATATTTGTTTATACACGGGGGTTAGTTTAGTGTCTTACTCAAGATTTTAAAACGCAACCAACCCCCTTCGGTGTTTTGGTCAAGTGTTTAAACCACCCATTCGGGGGGGTTAGTTTAGTTTCTTACTCAGGGATTAAATCACTTGAATGAGACACTAAACTAACTCCCCTTCGGGACTAACCAAGGTTGGTTGCGTTTTACAAACTTGACCAAACCCCCCTAGGAGCTCCGAAAGGAGCGCCCTGCTCTAGTTCTTTGTATAATGTGAGACAGTAACATGGTGGCTGTGTGTAAAAAAGAATCGGCTTGTCTCGATCCTATGACCACATGCTTACGACTCTAGCACGCTAATCACAGTTAAGACATGATAAATTATATTATTATTGGTTCAAGAGTGAATGAAGTCATTAAGAACGTGTGATGTATATAGTTAGAAATAAAATAACAGACGTCATACTTTAAGAATGCTTATCTTCAGAATTCCCAGATTAAGAGACTTTCAACGTATATCGTACTCTATACACAGATGTTGTTGATAAGTTTGTGCTGTTCTCGCAAAAAGCAGTTTCCGATAAACAATTTCTAGTGAAGATAGAAGCAACTTTTAGAGAGTAGGCCAATGTCCATGCATTTTTCGGAAAAATTGTGGAATGTATGTGCATTAGATTTTAATTCTCACGTTTCTTTTGTGAATAGGAAGGTAAGTTCTTAAGCGTCAATGAATAAATCCTAAGTTGACGAGATACGTTTATGTTATGACATCGCCTGTAGTGTGTTGCTACGCGTATTGTGAACAGTAAGCTGTTATGGTTACGTTTGCGTGATATAAGTATGATGTGATTTTTTGGCGTAAATACGTCTATATGGAAGGGTCATTCCGCAAAAACATGTTACGAAAAAGTGTTACGAAAAAGTGACAGAAAAATGTGTAAGATCCGTATCAACAAATCGACAACAATGTGTAAATATGGACCGACAACAATGGTCAGCTTACGTGCATTGTTATGTTACCTAGGAAACGTCATCTATTTACTCAGAATTGTTGTGTTACATTACTGCCGTCAACAATCCGCTTTCGTAACAAGATGGATGACATTGAAGATAACATTACATTACTTTACATTAAATTACATTACAGAGACGTAAATATAATTTAAATACAGAGACGTATTTACGTCAAATTTTCCCGAACCGTGGTTCCACTATAACTTTTTATTTCAGGTAGGAGCATTCAGAATTCAGAATTTTCAGAGGACGAATGTTGAAGCTGTGCATTCAGGAAAAGGTTACACCTTTCAAGTCTTGTTTAGATGAGGGTCTATAAAATAAAATATTAACGAAGGCTGACGTAGCATCTCACCAGCCTGCTTGTTTCAGAAGGAATTTCCTTAGTCGTTTTAACAGTTATCCATTAATATCGACCTGCGTCTTCAGTACAGGCCTGGTCATTTTATAGCCGAAACCCTCAGAACTTTAAATTTTGTGTGCGAGATTCGTTTTCCCATAGCGGTAGTAATTTTTGTAGAGAAATGTGTAATACTTACTACTGTCAACATCACTCTGGTTTCGTAATTTAAAAACATAACCTCTACGTCTCGACCTGTTTTACTTGGATTTTAGTCTAAGAGTCTGTTCCATCAACTCTTTGGTCTTTCCATTTGAATCTTGTTGACGACCACCTCAGTAACATTTGTTTTGCCAGTGGATTTGTAATACTGCAGTGATAATTTTGGTAGTGTATTTCTGTGCATTCCTTCTATCTTTTTTTGATTTTCGACAATCTGCATTCCACTTTTTTAAGTTGAAACATTCCATTATGTCTACAGTCCTTCGGTGATCAAATTTTGTAAATCCCGCCAGTGGTCCAAGGAATCTCGTCTCTGCTCGTATCTGACTCCCCATATTTGAGTGTTATTATCGATATTATGTAGCCGTGTTTAGTCTGACGAGAGTTTGCCGATGTGACTATTCCTGTTTTGTGGCATTCTTCTGTTAGGCCTGTAATCCACGGCCTCTTTAATTTTTGAAATTGTGTTTTCTAAATATCTGGATTCTTTAACTTTGATAATATTTGCTGTCTATAACTATTATAAGTTTTCTGGTATCATTGCCACATGTTCCATTTCCTTTTGTTTCTTAGCGATTGTGTTTAAGTGGTTTGCAGAATTTGTAATTAATCTTCCAAATCTGGTTATCTTCAGACAGAATTGTAATTTATTTCATTGTTTTCTTCTTCCATGCCAACAGAAAATATGTTGAAAATAGAGTAAGACCATAGCTTTGTCAGAATCCTGAGGTATTATAATGAATCGATGGTAAAATTACGAGGATGTATTCCGTTGAGGTTCAATGAATAGACATTAATAGTCAATGATCTTAAGATAATTACAGTATTTGTCTTCACACATTGCGAACTTCAGCTGAATCTTTGTTCTTATCACGTTTTATTGCGGTCATAATCAGATGGGTAGGCGTTCGAGCATTTCGACCCGCAAGTTATAAGGCGTAGACCGCAGATTGCTTGCAGGAGTGAGGATGGTCATTCAGTAGCATGTGATCGAGTTCCTTAACCCTATGAAACTGAAGCTCGTCTAAATCAGACTTCAATCCGTACCGCAAAGAAAACACGACAGTTTATCACTGTATTGATTAACTTGTTAATGCTGTGTAAGTAAATGATTCATCATTCAAAGTCTATAAATACAAAATGCAGAGTTAATGAATGTTAACGCAGCTGGTAAATATATTTCCCATTCAGCTTTAAACGGTTAAGGCTAGTTCACATGAGTTCATTGCGAAGACGACTTACTGGAGCGAGTTGTGGTACCCGTGTTTATTTATTCGACTCGTGCAAACATTTTTTTATGAGTGTTGGCTTGAAAATAAATAATAATAGTAAATCGTTCTAGTAAATCGCTCCAGTAAGATGACGGCTATTGTCACTGTGCTTGTTTTATTTAGGTGACTCCTAGTCTCAGCGGTGCGGCCCTCAACCTAAACCCCAACGCCGACGTGTTCGAAAGCAAGCAATCTGAAGGCAGCATCGATGTGCCCTCAAGTTGGGACACCACTAACGCAGAATTCACCTCTTTGGACGGTATGTACATATGTGATATTTTCGGTTCCCACGGTGGCGAGTATGAAGATGGTTTCCTTTGGGTTTTTATGTCCTGTAGCCTCGTAGAAACTTACAGACGTTTCAGAGGTGCTTGCTGTCTCTATTATCCGACTATAAACAATTCTGCAACACTACACGGCGCAGCGACCGAGAAGACAGCTGTTTTCGTGTACACACATTTACATAAGACCTTTTATAAAAAAATGACAGAATCACAGATGAAATTCAGATGTAATTTAATCATACTATTTTACAAAATTTGTTTAATTGTTTAATTTTAACCGTCTAATCACAATAAAATATTTTATTAAATATTAAAATATTATTACTACAATTAACATTTAATATTTAAAATATATTAAATAATATATAAGTAATAATATTTTAATATTTAATACAATATTTTATTGTGATTAGACGGTTAAAATTAAACAATTATAATCATCACAATATGACGCAACATTATCATCTCTTTACAAAATTTGTAATAGGAAAAAATGATAAACCTACTATATCATAAGACAAGTACAAGTATTAAATTTTGTATAAGGTTATTTTTTCCGAAACTCACTTGTTGGTATTCCCAAATACGCACAATTCCTTCTGTAATGATATCTGGAAATCCCCCTTATTCAGAGGTCATTAAAATATAGCCAAAGTACCGGATCGGCCAGGTTCCACGCTGAAATCATAGTATGATGATGTTATCTATGTTATTTAATGATGCCTTTACATATTTAAATGCAGAATTAAAAGACGCACAACGTACAGATGTATAAGTTAGACCGTCTGTATTTGACATCATTGTTTTTTAAAAGTGTTCTGGGCGGCGCCCCGGTCCTCAATAAAGCACCGTGATGCAGCCCTGGACCGCCTTCAGTGCGTGGTCAGTATTACTCAGTACTGAACGTCGTAGTCGAGTAATTCGTATTCTGGTGGGCGCGGGTTCAGATCTCAACCCGGACACAGACTATCCTACCTGAAGTTTTTTGTGGTTTTACTCATTCCCTCCAGGTGAAAGCCTGGATAGAACCTTGAATTAGGCCACGACCCTTCTTTCTGCATTCTTTTCAATGTACTATCATCCTGTAATTGTAGGATTTGAGGTTCTCCATCCTGTAATTCATTGTTATATACCCTGGGAACTGAAGTGTTGAACAAAACGGATATAAGCAGCTCATTCTGATATAAAAATTAATTACGTTATATTTTATTGGTGATACTATATGCGTTACATAAGATACGAATTACGTTTCGCAAGTTTTTTTGGATGTATACGTTCGCGTTCGTTCCAATAGATAGCGGAATAAACCGTTGTTGCGACCCCATGATGCAACGTTTCTGTGGCATGTGCCTTCTGTGTCGGCCATTTTGCAGGTTTCCGTGAGAATTAGTGTTGAGTTTGAAGACTCTTCACAACGGTAAGATTTACTAATTTTGTGGAACTTGGCTGCACATTGTTCGTTCAAATTGACACATACCTTAATTTTGTAATTTTTTACTTAGAAAACTTATTCGTTGAGAGGGTGAGCCTGGAAATTACGAATGCATCCATTCACTGAGAAAAGTTCGATAAAAGAAGCTTAATGATAAGGCACATGGTTTCCGGGTTTGTGTAGGAAATTAAATATCTGTGTTTTCACAGGCATAGGATTTGCTTGAATGTGTTGATTTGTATGGTGTTTATTATTACTTCAGTACAAGCATTCTTAGAGTTCCTGAAATACGTGAAATATGTAGAGCACGATCAGAAATGGCTTCTGCAGTACATTGAGTCATGCTCTTGTGATGAGTTTGCAAGTGTTCATTCGTTTGAATTTCTCTCATTCGTTTTAAGTTTATGTTTAGTGAGTGAAGCATGTTAAATCAAATTAAACCGTTCCATTATCGTCGTGAAGCATTGCATATGGACTAGCAGCTTCCATGCAGGGCTGTACAGACTTGGAAACAATGGTTTATCCCATATTAGGGTGTATCCTCGCTATAATTTCAGCATAAAGCTGTGTGTCAAATTTGTATTGTTACGCTCTGGAGTATGTGTGTGTGGAGCTAGGTATTAATAAATTGTTGTCACAAGAACTACTTGTAAACATTCTTGCACAGGATAGTGAAGAAAAATATCTTGTAAGAGGTTTTCACCCTGCATTTGTCATACAAAATGATTCGTTACTTTTTTTGCATGCTGCAGAACTGATGCTAAGTTAATTGAATATTAGATTGACATACTGTGCTTCTGTTATTAATTCATAGGCATATGCCTATAAAGGATCTATTCTATTCAGAACCTGTTAAATTGTCTGTTTCCACAAAAGTAATTCAGTGTTACACTCATATTTCTGTGAGCACATTGTTTTGGAAATAAAATTGTCTTGTTCAGACCCATTCATCTCAGCTTTTGTTACATTTCTGATCAATTATAATCAAAACTGGATCGCCATTCTATATGAATAGTAAATTGTTTGTTATATACCCCCCTCCCCCATTTTCTTTTACCTGTTTGACAGAGTTTGCATCTCATTGTCACTTTTTCCTGATGTGTGAATATGCAAGTGTATTGGAGATTACTGTACAACATCCACATTTGTCCACTAGTAGTGTTGATTGAAAATCCCGTGACAACCAATGAGGAGTACTAAGCAAACAAGATAATTAATACAAGTATCCAGAAAACGATGTCCTGTTTTTAGCTTTTGGTCCTTTTTTAAATTTATAATGTATATGTTTCTTTTTAATTTGCTCTGTGGCTTCAACATGTATTTACAGTTGTCATGTCAGAAATCAAAATTCTTAAATTTCTGAACATTAATACTGGAAAAGCTGCTCTTATGTTTCTTGCAGGACCTAGTCCAGTGTATTTCATATATTGTTATTAGGAGTGATCACTCATCATTAATAATTCAGACTTGTTCATGTTGTAAGTGATTCAAAATCTCAGAGCTGGAGCATAAGCTGTCCTAGGAGGGTGTGTATTTTGGGCAAGGGTGAATATGAGGGTTGTAACTTGAAATGGACCATTTTAACTTTTGTTTCATTGTAGTTTATTGCGCACGTCACCCTCTTTATTTCTTTGAGCACAGACCTCTAGTTGTAATGGCGAATATCAGGCATTACCTTGAAAAATAGACCATTCCTCCATTTACTTATCATCCTGATGATGGAGGCAGCAAGCACCTTTGTAACCAGTAAATTTCTAAATACCAGACTATATGACCGTACAACCCAGAAGACAGCCATCTTAACCACCATGAGAACTAAAGATCTATTCCTCCATTTCTTCCATTTTGGTTCATATTATCCTCATTTAACACTAACCTCTGCTGTTAATAAACTACCATCAACATGTTGACACCCAAGTGATTTTCCCAGGTGTAAATTTTGTCATGTGACTGTAATAGAGAATCCAGAACTCTCACTGTATGAACTGTGCAACACCCCAGTGGCTATCACAAACATCATGCATCTTTCCTGTTTTTGCTGTGGTGTTAGAAATGCATTATTTCACTCTGTGAAGACTAAGCCTCCCATCTATATAATGATAAACCTTTGTCCCATCAGTGTGTCTAATGGTACTGAAATTGTCTCATGAAACCTACTGGTGACCATTGTGGTAGCCAACATGTTAAATACTGTGCAGATACATAATTTTAACATTATTGATGCAGATTTTGAAATTTCTTTGATGTGGCAAGAGTTTGCCTTGCATCATGTAGAACAGTAATTATTGACCTGTAGGTTACAAGTATACCTCTGTGTGTAAATGTAGAGTTCTGGCCTACATATTGCTGTTTAGAGAAAAAATAAATGTTTTTAATAGTAATTGCACAAGAAAGCATGTGTGCACATACACTTCCTTTGGATTCCTGGAAATCTGGGGTCACATACTCAAGGAAGTTGAAAAGTCCTGGTGGAGAGCTATAATATTTTTAATTGGTTTTAGAAATGTAGCTATGTTCTCTAATATTTGTAGTGCAAACATATGTTATGTTGGCGCTCCTTTTAATTTATGAATATTCATTGTTAATTTTGTATTGTGTTGGTGAAAAAATCATGTGAATAAGGACAGAAAAATTGCTCTCTTATCTTAAATTAATAACATTTTCTTTAAATTTTGTGAAGATTTGTTAAATTTGAATCATAGGTTTGTATGGACAAACTCCCCCAACCAAGTCTCATGGTTTTTATGTATTCCATGCAGACACCAGTACTGTGCTGTAAATTACATTGAAATATTTCATGTCCCATGCATCTTGATTTTCTGTTTGTGTTCAACCTGCCATTATTGATCTTCGTAAGCCATGTAGTCCAGCTTCCCATGTATTGCAGTAGTAATCTGCAAAACTGTTGTACCTTTGAGTTCAAATCTGGCATTAGTACAGTAGTACAGGAGTTTAAATCCCCTATTCTTTTGTAATAGAGGTTAATTTATTAGTTTGGTGGCAAGATCCTGGAAACAAGATCATAAATGGGACTGAAGAAACTAGAAATTGTCTTGGCCAACTTTTACAGGTGAATTGGGAGGAAGCATACAAAGTAATACTCTTGCAATGGGTTCAGATAGTTGCTTTAAAATTGTATACTTTTGTAAAGGAGTGAAAAAATAATGCACAGCATGAGTGTTTAAGAAGCTATAAAGTGTAGATATTGTAATGGTTCAAGTATGTTTGTTGACAAATGGCATAGCTGCAGAAACTTTTCCACATCATTTTATGTTTTGTATCTCGCTTTGACAGCCATGTTTTAATTACAGGTTACGTGTACATGAATGGGGACATTGGGAAGCTCCCTTCAGGGGCGGTGTACCCTGCCACCCCTGATCCCCTGGCCACCACTACTTCCACGAGTTCTGAGTATAGGTAATATTAGAGTTTTTAGATATAACAGCTGAAGAACAAATGGAATTGCTGGTAAATAGATGTAATAGAATATTAAGATTAAAAATAGCTTCTGCAAGTGATCAGTTTACAACACAGACAGTGCATTAGTTGATAGACTGAGTGAAGCCAAAGCATGCAAGAGTAAATAGCACTATGAAAGAGACGTAGGAAGAGGAAATGGCAAGAAATTATATTTTATGAAAGTCTAGAATGGTCATCTATGTTACATGTTCCATTGCAGACCTGATAAAAGCTCCCTACAGAATGGAATGTCCTACAAAACACATGCTAAGCATAGAGGAGAAGTTTAGTATTACAGCTATTTCTTTAACTCATCTGTTCAGTGTGCAATAGAATTTCATTAATTTCAGCAAATTAGACTTGTGGCTATATCCATGCAATAGACGTAAGACATTAATACTCCTTTAAATTACTATGGTTTTATTTTAGAACTCAGAAAGTAGTAAGTATGCTATTTTAAAGTTCCATTTATGTTGAAATATTACTTGTTGCCTTACACCCTAGTTCTAGATAAATTAGAACTGCAAGATTAATATCAGTTACTTAACCTGATATGATTTGTGTATGCTTGTGATAATGTTTTTGTCGAGATGAAGGTAGATTGGCAAAAAATTTCTTGGCCGAGGCTTCAGTTCTTTAGTCTGTTGAACATCTAAACTATGGTACTTCAAAAATGTTATATTCTTTTAATAGCTCACTGAATGGCATAACAGACTCGCTGGAGACCTACGCCCAAGCCAACACTCCGCCAGGGGGATCGCCCGCTGACCCGAATCCTTCAGGGCCAGATGGTGGCATCCCCCTGGAGCAGTTAAAGCAAATGCTCTCATCTCAGCTCGAGTATTACTTCTCTAGGTAAGTTCTTCAGTGACCATTTTATGTAAGTTGTTAGTCTCAGAAGAGCTGTGTATGTTTGAAACTGGTAGTCGAATTGTTTTGTTGGGTTGACCTTAATTTCCATGAACCTTGTGTTTTACACATTTTTCCGTGCATGTGCTCTTTCACATACGTGTCCATGGTGATGTTTTCTTAATCCAAGAAAGGCAACTGTAATACAACTGCAACTCTTCGGTATACTTATCTGTGGTTTTTGTCCAAAAAGATTTACAGGATTATGATCATTCTGTCAGAATGTGCACTAGGGGCCAAAAAAAATACAAAAGTTTGGTCGTATGTATATAAAAAGTCCATGCAAGTTTGTAAAATATAAGGAAATGTGTGTTTGATATGATGAAAATATGGGCTTTCTATTCTAGTTTCCATAATTACAAATCATTATGTAGAAAGTCAAATACTCCGCTGTTTTGCTGACAGTTTTTTTGTTTCACCATTTGTATACCTTGTAGACACTTCTTAAGGCCAGTGCAATATGTATCAGAACTGTGGTCAGTCCTAATACTTGTTTCTGGCTGATCTATATGTACATCCAAGATGGGGAATTGATGGTGCCATATTATGTAAAGATGTTCTGTTTTGTGCTGCCAGTACAGAAGTATTTATAACTGCTTGGTTGTTATTTTGTCATAGGCCTTGTCTGTCATGGTTAATTCCAATAAATGTAACATTTTGTTACGAATTCTTGCTTTATATACTTATTGCAAGACTGCCTTGATGGAGTAGTAAGTTTCAGGGTTGAAGGCCATGGAAGTCTTTTAGTAGCAGGAGTAAATCAGCTGTGTTGGCTGAAAGATTAGATATAAAGTGAGTTTATTGGATCCAGACATTGATAGTGTAAATTCTGTGAATGATTATGTAATAATTGATACGTTAATTATCATTGATTTTGATATTGAAGAGGTGTGGATTAGTGTTAGTGGCAGGTTTCAAATGGGAAGAAAATTTAAATTATATTGGGCAGAGGGTAGTTTTCACTGATGGATTTTAGATGGAAAGTGAAGGCAAGGTAGAGGCTAGTTATCAGTTATGAATGTTAGGATCAATCATGCAGATCAATTCATAATGCTGTAATTATAGAGACCAATATGTATGCAAAATAATTCATGAAGTTTGGGTTGGAGGAGGGGTGTTAAACTAAGGTGTTTGTACAGAGATGCTGAATAAGACAGAATAGTTCTCCAGAACTCAACCAAGTTTAATAATAATTGAAACTAGTGAATTATTAAGTAGCTCTTTCGGTATAATTTAAAATCTTGCCCAGGTTAACTTTTTTATGCATGAAATAGATCAGTGAAGTTTTTACAGAACTTGACCCATGTTTTAAAATATAGAGAATCATCAGTGTATAAATACAGTACATGGGGCATGCCCATAAGTAACTTTGGATGTGGATTGCGTTGGTGTGCATCTCAATTGTATATGAGCTTATGAATAGTGAAATATAGTATTCTTTGTGTATTAAACCCTTTGAAGCTCATCCATCCAAGAATCCAGGCTATACCTCAAAGAAAACACAACACCTCCAGTGGAAAGGTAACTAATTAATGCTGTTTGAGGAAATAATATCTATTTCCAGTGAGAATTATATGAAGCCCATAGGTACAAAATGCTGGGTTAAACCTGGTGGTATATATAGTTACCATAGGGCTCTAAAGCATTAATAATTGGGTAGTTGGTAAGGGGGCTGATTTGCCACAGTTGTACAGTACAAGTCTGAACTTAAATTTTGTAGATCAGGATGAAAGGTATGAAATCTACAAATTCTGCTGTGCTGTTTTAGTTGATACAAGATTTTATATGCTAATTTTGTAACTGTCTTTCAGAGAGAATCTGGCCAATGATGCCTACTTGCTGTCTCAAATGGATAATGACCAATATGTTCCCATCTGGACTGTTGCAAATTTTAATCAAGTGAAGAAACTAACAAAGGATATCAAATTAATTACTGAAGTATTAAGAGGTAATTGTAATGGCCTTACGTGTAATTAGGATACAGGTATTATTTCAAATATATGTACACAGACTTGGTTTGCTGTAGGTGAAGTTTTTATGGCCTACCAGTATTTTAATGTGATAACCCAGAATCTCTCTAAAGGGACTGATAAATATCACAAGATCAGGATAAATGGACACCAGGATGAGATCCAAACCATGGATCTCCCAGGTACAAAATAAAAGTGCTAATATTTGTTAATATTAAGCAGTCTAAACATTTTCCCATCTGTGCTTGCTTGATTATGCACCGGTAATTAATACTTTGAGTGAAAACTGTTTTATTTATAATTTCTTCCTCCCACTCAACTTCATCCTTAAATATACATAAAGTAATTTGTATTTAATGGCACATTACTGTGCTAAAAAGTTTGTTTCCTATATGTTCTAGAATCACCAAATGTTCAAGTAGATGAGGAGGGTCAGAAGGTGCGACCAAACCATAAGCGGTGCATAGTTATTTTACGTGAAATACCAGACAATACACCTTTAGATGAAGTTAAAGTATGTATATTTTTAGCAACTAGTTAGCATAAAGTTTTTCTATCATTGTGAAAGGATTTGTTCTTTAATTTGTAGTGTCTTCTTAAAATGTCCAAAATTGTCACAGTAGATTAGTTATAGAACATGAATATGCTTGTTTGAAATGTCATGTGTGTGTTGGTAATCACTGTTGTTAATTTTTCATAGTCACGCCTACAGTTATATAGGTAAAAATATATTGTGAGAAATAAATGTGAAAGTCTTTTACAAGTTAATGTAAAATATGTTTTCATAATAAATGTAGGTAATAATTGAGTTTCAAATGTTACAGAAGCAGAATCCAAAGTCATTATAATTGTTAATTATTTAAGAACTGAAATACCTGAAACAGCAAGGATTTATAAAACTGAAGTTCATCATGAAATTCAGTTTGAGAAATTCTTACTCGTTTCAGAAACTTTTTTATTCTGTTGTATTGTGAAACATCCTAAGGAAGGTACTTGTTCTAGGAGAAAATAATAAAATAAGGAATAGAGGATGTTGCACAGAAAAGAACTATGCTGTTTATAAACAGTTTGTCCTGTGTTGCTGATATAAAAGAGGTTATGGATGAGGTGGGGTGACTTAGTTCAGTGTCAGACTGTGGACTGGGTGAAGGGTTTGATCCCAGGCAGGGTTGAAGAATTTTTCTTCTAGCCCTGGTGCCCACCCAGACTAATATTCAGTGTGTAACGGGCCCTTTTCTCAATTGTGAAGCATGGTTGGTGTGTGATGCTGACCACTCACCCCTTCTAGCGCCGAGATTAAGAAAGAGTACGAACTACACCTGCTCTCCCTCCAAGCGCCTTCGTGGCGTGTAACGGAACAGCTTTGCTTTAATCTTTGTTATGATTAATCGTCCTATCATCCGACGCTATAGAGTTTAAGCTTTGAAAAAAACATAAACACACTGTATTTAGCTGGACAGTTTTAGTTTGCATAATAGGATGAGAATATTAGAAAATTAATATGTATAGAACTTCGGTGATTAAAATTTATGGAAGTAAGGACAAGAAATTTGGAAGTAGTGGATTGAATTGGCTGGTTGACAAAGTTGAACTTTCACATATCATTTATGCAGCATCAGCTACAGGGTTTAAAATATTTTAATGTTTTACAATTTGTGTATCAGAGTAAATACTGAAAATAAAAGTGCCTTTGTAAAATATTTATAAAAATGAATAATTATGAGGGATTTGTAATTCATACTGACTAAATATTCAGATGTTACATGATTAAAGAGTACGTTCTCTATAAAAAAAAAACAGGTTATGTGCCATGTATGAATTATGTTGCAGGCTTTATTTTCTGGTGAAGGTTGTCCCAGATTAATATCATGTGAATTTGCACATAATAACTCGTGGTATGTGACATTTGAGTCTGATGACGATGCCCAGAGAGCGTACAGGTTCCTAAGGGAAGAAGTCAGGGAGTTCCAGGTAAAATTCAGCTGTTGTGTTGTCATGTGCACTTTTTCAGATTGACTGAATGAAGATATATTGTATTTAATTAAGTGATTGTGTTCTCACATTTTGAATAATTAAAAAAAATTCTCTGTGATGTGTTACATTGTATAAGATGCATCATGTGTGAAAGAATATCTGGTTTGTGTAAAGATTGTTTGCAAGCAGTTGCATAATGGCAAGATGATGGTGTATTTCATGTTATCACAGGTTCTTGATGAAGTAAACTTCATGTTCGTCTCTGTTTCATCCAATTATTCAACAGTTCGTAAGTCACATGTGCCCTGATTTTCAAGTTTCATACTTGAGAGCAGTAGCTTAAACGGTTCTGTACAAACTTGGCATTAATTGAATTGTAAGTGTGTAGTTTATGTGACATGAAGTTAGTGGTGTGTAAATGAAGCATAGGATGCCAGAAAATGGGGTGTCATGGGAAAGTAGAAAACATTTTCAAGGTCTTATAGAGAATGTCTTTGTATTTTTATGTCACCTTTTGTTTTAGGGTAAGCCTATAATGGCCCGTATCAAAGCAAAACCCATGAATAGGTTGCCCATGCCACCAGTTCCTGCTTTGGGTGCAGCAATGAAGAATGGTTACCGCACACCACCTGCAGCACTCTATGACCCCACTGCTTACCAGGGCAGCCAGCAGAGGTTTCTGTATACTAATGGTAGCTCAATACCTCCTACAGTTAACTATGGAAATCAGGTTCATGTATATGTAAGTAACATTTATATTACTATTTCACATTGGCAGAATTTTTGCTGAAATTTTCTTTTATTCATATTCTGCATCCTTTTCTTTCCATTGTTTTTCTTTGAACTGTGTACCAAACTTTGCTGTGTTTATTTTAGAATGTTACACATGTCTTTTGTGCTTTGAAACACATTTTTTCCAAGTGTGCCTTTCAGCTCTATTGATGGTACATAATTATTACCATAAAGGACTTGCATCAGTTGCATTTCTGCCCTGATTGGTGTAAGGCTTTTATTTTGTGTAGCTTGGAAATACAAAGTTAACCATTAATCTTGAATTCCACATACAGTAGGAAGTTCAGGTTAGAAGGAAGTATATCTTGTCTTTAAGGCCTGTTCCTTCAGAGTGTGAATTTGTTGCGTCCATGGCCCCTGTAGAACTCGTCCCTATTCGTGTTAGGGTGGAGCTCAGTCTGTATCTTTCCTTGATGTTCATGTCTATTTCTTTGCCAGAGTACTAGAATCATTTAGCAGGATACTGTGATCTAGGTTGCTATGTTCAGCCATAGCCAACTTCTGGACAGTTAAGCTATATACAGCTTTGTGCACTGAATGGAACATAATTCCTGCCACTTTTCTGATAATCATCCGTGTCTACATTTAATGGTTTAATAGAGCCTGTATCTCTCGAGTGAAGTTGATGAGAATAAGGTACTTTTTAGTTTACGTGTTTATTTACATGTATTCATGTGCATGTATATACATCTTTTTGGGACATGCTGTATGTGTTAGGTCACACTTATCAAAATTTTTATTGAATATAATTATGGTCCTGCCTGTGAGGACTTCTTACATTTTTGTTTGAAAAATTCCGTGATACTCTTTCTATGCATTATACCATGTACCCACTAAGTAGTTAACTCTCTCCTCCAAACATGACAATTTTAATTATGTTATTCCATTGGAAAATTATTTGTATGCTGTCCCAGAACTTCATTATGAAATCTCACATAATTACAAGTTCAGCCTTTCATTTTGTTAACTGTCGCAATATATATTACTTAAACATTTGTGTGTGCGGGCATGTGTATGATTATTTTTTTTATAGACTTTCCAACAGCACCAGCCATTTTATCCTCCAAGTATGCTCCAACCGTGGGGTCCAGCAAGTCACGCTTACTTCGATATTGGCAGTGTGTTTTCTGTGAATGGTCTTGCACCACAGGGTTCATTCAGTAAACCACCAGGTTCAAGATTTATCCCTCGCAGGTAATGGTGTTAGCAATAATTTGAAAATTTGCTATTGAAGAGTTCTTAGAGGAGTTTTTTTTATTGCTTTCTGTTTTGGAAACTGAATATTGATGAAATCAAATGTTAACACATTGGGGACCAGCATTACACAGATGCGCCCTGAAGCACATTAGGTTTCTGTTTTAGGGGTAGAATTGGTTGCCCTTTGTTTTACAGCACCATTTGTTTATACTGTGGATTGTAAAATTATCATTTTGATAAAAACAGTGTATAAAATTTAAGTGCTATCTTAAACACTCTCATAAGAGTATTTGAGCTCCAAATGCTTTTAAAAGGGATTTGGTTATTAGCTGAAGCCTGCTGAGTGCTCTGATTGGCTGAAATTAGTGATAACGTGACTTCATAAGCAATAACATTGTTCATAGCACTTCTGTAAGTGTGTGATGATGGCCAAGACTGGCAAAAGCATGTGGGGCAAATTATGGTGAAACAAAGTGTACGTTAGTTATAAAATATGACTGCAGTTTGTGTTGGATGCTTCAAATTGATATTAGGATATGATATAACAGTAGAGTGGATTTCAATTTCATGGTAATATACTACAAATTGTCAGCATGCTCAAATGTTTTTTACATACAATATAGAAGTTAATATCTTTGTAATACTAAAATTAAGTATGTCATCACAGGTAACAAGTATTTCACAAGGGCTTATTAAGTAATTTGAGCTGTCAGACACTTGTCATTGTTAAGTCAGTATATAACATGAAAATATTGTTACTAACTTGCCTGGAGAGACCCTACAAAAAAGTAGTAACATAGTTGAATAGAGTTCTTAAAGCTAGTAGTCAAATTCTCTACTTTGTGAGACCCAAGCGTTAAACATTATTTACAAAACTTATACTGGGCCCTATTTTAAAATTGGTAGTAATGTTCATAGTTTGTTTAATTTGTAGGAGAAAAGAAAACTAAAATCACTATTCATTAAGTAGTTGTGCAGTTTATTTGCATATATCACTAACTAGAATGGGGATTGGCAGTGATTCATGTGCCGCCAGTTAAGTTATGCCGTAATGTTTGAGGTTAAGTTTGTGGTAATGTATTCTGCAGAAACAAAAGGAACCAACCTGGTGGTGACCGTGGAAATTTAATGGATAATGGTGCTGGCTTGGTGAGACAGTCCAACACTCCACATTCATATCATCTTGGAGGAACAGGGAATGTGAGTGGTGCAGTAGGTGGCACTGGCTCGGCTGTTGCCAAGAGTGTGTGCAGTAGTAGCGCTGTGTCTAAGGTACCGCAGCAACAGCAACCGCCACAGCAGCCAGCTGTTGGAGTAACTGCTGAGTGTCATCACAATCATTCCAAGAGCCATCACCCCTCTGTACTGCAGGATAACAGTGACCCAGTTTGCACCGGACCTAGTCAGAGTACTCCTGGTGGCCCTTCTCAGCGTTCAGATAGTGAAGACAATTCGTATCGACAGTCAAGAGAAGCTTCAACTAACAAGGAACCTATGCCCCCAAGGTAATAATTACATTGAATTCATTTCATTGTGAATTGTTTTCCTCATATTTATTTCTGAAGTGTGAATGGGCTGTGGTTCATATACAAATGGTGAATGCTAGATATGGTAAAAGAATTCAACATATGTGAAACTCGGGAGTTTTGAATGTGTGTGTGGGTTTTCTTTATACAGATGTTATCATATTTGAAAATATTGTCACAAGGCAAGATTCCTTTGCTATACAGAAGTCCTTAACCCCTCTAGTACCATGTGGCCAAGGGTTCTGCTGCATGTCTTGACTGGCTGATCCACCAGCCGTCTGTTGTTTATGCTCGCGATTACAATCTCTGCTGAAAGGTGATGTTTCTAAATCATTGCAGTGGATACAATGAAGGTTTTTGCATATATCACATTGCCAGATTATGATAGAGTTTATTTAGATTTGTTGTTATCAAATGGAAAGTATAATTCGCTGTGCTTAGTAACTTTCATGCTGTTTGGTTCTGTGTGGGACTTCACATTTTACATAAACATGAATATTAGTGCACGTGGCTCACTGTCTGATGAAAGACTAGCATATATGTGAAGTTTTAGAGGATATTGGTAGTCTTTATGAAGGGTGATGTGGAGTGGCACTGCACATAATACCGAATGGATGTTCATGAGCACTACTCGCAACATGCCAGAGAGCGATCATGAGTCAACCAAGAGTTCTGACAATCGTAATATTGTTTATATTGGTAACACAGTTACAGTGACTAGAAATAAATTGATGGTGATCATGGCAATCACCCATAGACTAGCAGCATTTAATACAGTGAAACCTCAATGCATCGTTTTTGGCGGGGGTGGGAAATAAAAACGATAGTTGCGGGAAAGCATTAAAAATTTAAAAAAACAATGTTTCTCTTTCAAAGTTATTTCTTTTTACCAAAAACGTCTTTAATGGACAACTGGTTTGTCGAAACTTTACGTTTTAGGCCAAACAGAGCCCTTTCCACTTTCAAAATGTTTTCGTCACGTTCACTGATGTGCGCATAAAAGAACGACTTCACTTTTGACAATGCAGCATGTTCTTTGGCAAAACTTGGCACAGTTTCGGGCTCGCATTCGTCATCTTCCTCTTCCTCACCACTCCCACCCCCTCCGCAAACAATAATAGGAAGACACTGAACCACTGGAAACGAGATGAACCAGAAGAATGAAAAGTGTCGCCCGCCTTTCCTTTGTACTTATAATAAAAGCATTTATGAAGAAATTCACACTGCACATGCCATCTGGCATCGCTGGAACGAAATATGAGTGCACCCTAATTAAACTCATAAAATTTCTGACAATGAGCACCGCCATTCACTCCAACTATCACCCCTGCACCGCTGACCCCTCATTCCAAAAGAATCTGTGCTGGTTGGGCGACATAACAGGTTACCGCTACTGTGTAGTCCAAAAACATTGTGCGTGTTTCGGTATTAATTTATCTCAAAACCCAGCATTTTAAATTCTAAAAATATTGCGTAAATTTCGTTATGATTTCTCAGAACGGTCATTGCGGGAAAATTGTGGGCTAGGACTAAGATTTTTGAACGATTGATGCAATAAAACGATAGTTTGAGGAACGATAGAAGTGGGAAAATGTAACATTATTTTATATGGGATGTATTCGGGACCGAACAAAACGGACGATGCATCCGGGAAAACGATAGTTCCGGGAACGATGGATAGAGGTTTCACTGTATGAAGATTACAGGTACCAAAGCATTCCCAGACTGCAACTGCATCTGTGTTGTTTTTCAAAATATTACTGAAACAAACAGGTGTTCACAGCATGAATATAATTAGAAACCATCAGTAGCTTCTTATTAGTACACAGGCAAATCACAGTACATTGCTTGATTTCTTAATATATGTTCAAGAAACCATTTACCAACTTCTGTAAAACTGGTTTCTTGGACTTTGTCCGTTGTCTAAATTGTGAATAAAATCACATTTCAGAAGCCATATCTTCATGTCTGATGGTAAAAATGAAAGGACAGAAACCGTTTTTGTTGGGCTCCTCGGTTGATCTAGCATCAGACCAGAGTCATATTATAATGCATCATCAGAAACCTTCAGACTTCATCCATACTTACGTTTTCCAGAATCATTATTCTTCACAGTAGCAGCTCTGCATTCTTGAAAGTTTCTTTGGAACCAAGAATACTGACTTATTGCATGCCTGCTCTTAAATACAAATTGTGAATGAGAGTTCAGTACTTGGAACGGGTACGTACATTCACCAGGTCTAGAGCCTTCAGGCAGGTGAATGCATGGTATTTTATTTACACTGTAAACACTTGATTAGTTACCAAAGGTTTTGATAAAAATAAAAGGTAAACTATTACACACACACACCCCTCCATATTTCTGATGCTACTAAGTAGCAAAACTTGAAAACTGCATCATGACTTTCAGGCACATTGTATTTCCCTGTTCATTGAACTGAAATTGAGAATTGCTATATATGGTTAAAATTGAACAAAAGCAGAGAAATTAACACATTATATTGTGATAAAAACCGTGGACTGAAGTAATTTACAGGTACTCCACTCACTGAGTGATAGTTGTTTTGAATGTTTTGTCCAGAGAGTACATCTCCATATAGGAGCAAATTTGTGCGAAGAAAGTGGTAATTTACTGCAGATAGCTGAGTCATGGAACATACATGCACCATCATAAGATTTGCTTGTCATGAACTAAAATAATCTGTTTTCTCTCCATGTGAATGCCGGAGTGTAGTACGTTCGAGTAGGAAGGTGTTCCAGTTTAAACAGATGGTAACGCATTCAAATGTATCATATCTATGGGCACTGAGGTCACACACCAGTGCGAGAGAATTTCCTGAAAATATTTTTTCATGGTGGCAGAAATGTTACTCTGGTTAATTTAAAAGGTGTCTTTCTGACTAGTGTATCCACTGGTTAATTTAACTCTGCATGCAAGTTGCATCAGTGACCTCTTCTGACTAAATATGTTTGATTTTAAGATTTTCCTCCCAGTTCTTGACACTATAGGCCAACTATTTTTATGTTCTTTAAAGTAAAATATGTAAGTTATTGTTGAAATTGCAAAAGAAATTACATTCTTTTAAAATGTACATGGCATGGAAGGTATTAAACCAATTTTTTCTAGATAGGTGTTGTCAGCTGACACTGTTTGTGGAGATTTATTAACATTATCATGCCTTTATGCACCACATGTTCTTTCGTTGCAGTGGTTTCTGTTTCTAATAGACTTTAAGAAAGGAAGGATAACTAGATGGACTACACCATATTGTTCATTGTGGTGGATGGAATATAGATCTTGTCACTTACCTCTGTCTAAAGTCAAGATTAAGAATGCATGGTGCCTTACCTTTGTGGCTCTTGCCTTCATGGTGTGTTGCTTAAGCACAGGGGAGAACTTTTATCATTATTAATATACAGTTATGATGTGTTCTTCATAAAAAGGGTATAAATGAATGTGTTATGGGAGGTTACATCCGTCCATATTTAATCTCAAAGCTACATGGAACATTTAATTGTAGTTTTGCATTAAGAAGTCTGCAATGAAGGTTGGTCATGTGAATTTCATTTTGGTTCATAATCATCCTACCATGCAGCAGTAGCAGTTTTCCTCATGGCAGTGAAGATAATTTTTGTCTTCTGATTTGTAACACCATGTAGACTTGTATGTAGATACCAATGTATCTATCTGAATTCCTGTAGGAGGGGGGCAGTATATTCTTCCAAACTTTGGTATCTGCCTACTGGTCCATGTGGCATTCATTGTGATTCAGCAGGCTGACATTGACGGTTTTCATTATGTGGTGCTATTTAGAACTGGTTTAAAATGAGTGCATAAAAATGAAAAATGTTCATCACTTGATGCTATCTCAGTGTTACTGGTCTGGTTATACAGGCCCTGCATGCTGATTCTGTGGAGACCTAACCAGGCATTATTCAGGAACTTAGTTTAGACAGGTGAATGGTATATAGACAGATGATTATATGTAATTTGTATGAGTGGGCCTACTTGCATGTGTTTGTGGAAGGTATGTGGAACAGTGGTTGAAACAATGACATTTAGATTTTGTAATTACAGATATCCTGGTGGTAATTATTGCTCATCAGTTGTGCATAAAACTAGGGAAAACTATCAGAAATGTGGCTCTTTAATAATTTGCTGTACAACTGTTTGGTCAGTTTCTTTATAATTGCATTATTAAATAAACTTTTGTCTGTAAGCATGTGCATGCTACATTGTGAGGAAGCATTTAGTACTACGTTTATTTTGGAGGATGATGTGAGACATTTACAGAAACTGGGTTTACTTGATATTTGAAGTGTGATTACAGTGTGCCACCAGTCAGTATTTTTTATGAACAACTTTTCGTTGCACCTTGCCCCCCCCCCCATTTTATTTTTGAGTGCATGGAAAACCATGCATAGTGTAAAGGCTATTTTACTTCAGTTATTTTCCTTCACCCTTCATCTTAGTCCAAGGTTTTCATAAAATGGGGAGACAGAAAATTTGTACAGATTTCTTACAGTTAGAAAGGACATTATGTTCCAGTAATCGCATAGGTTAACAGTTCTGACCAGTTTATTTATTTTGTGGATTGATTAAAATGTTTCTTGCTGTTATTAGTCTATACCAGCAGTTGTCACCCGAGCTGAATATGAAGTTTAGTTGGTGCCTTTGCATTTGTATGCCTCTGTAAACTGTAGTAATATTAGAAGCATTTCATTATACTTAATCACAAGACATCAAACCAGTAAGGTAATGATGCTCAATCTGTGATGAACAACAAATCCACAGAAGTTAGTAAAGATAAAAAATACAAGCATTAGAAGAAAATGTTGTTTCTTGTGTCTTCTTTTACTTTCAAACTTCTTATTTTGTTTGCATTTTCTTATCACCTGAGGATGTAGGCCCTTGCATTGCAAATAAGAGAGAAGCATTTGAATTTAGAAGTAACAAAGTATAAGTTGCATGTAATGGGGTTGTCTTGTGGACCATGTTGCACATGATTGAAGACAAATGGCATCACTCTGGTTTGGTATGAATTTGGCACACATATTTTTGGCATGTTTAATATTGTTTTTGTATTGGTTGCTGCTTAGTGTCTGGTTCATTACTAGATTTATATTCTATGACCTGTTAGGTATTTTTCATGATGTTCTTACTGGTTTTTATACATTCAAGCTAGTAAGATGCCACATACAGGCAGCCTTCTCCCATGTCAGCGGTTATGGATTGAATTTGGCTGAGTCATGCATCATTCCCAATGATTCTGCAAAATCTGTAAGGAATTCCTACATTTTCAACCATTTCTTAGGTAGCCAGTCTTCTTTCATTTTTAACAAAATCATGAACCTTTGATTTTATTATTTCTGCTGCCTGGAGGGTTCTTGGGATATTCATCACTTTGGCAGACATTTATTTTTCTTCAAAACAATGGAATTAAACATTTGTCTTAACCTGTCCCACGCTTGTATTCTCTACAATTTCTGCTTTCTAATAGAGGTGTCTCACTTTTTGACTGGAGAAATTTAATTTGCATACTTCGGTAGTGAATAACTGATTCTGGTTTCTGAAGTTCATATAACAAAAGTTATTGTGCTGATTTCATTGCTCTATTTTGATGTCACTTTTTGTTGGAAGGTGGTGGTGGTATTTATGTAAATTTGGATTGGCTGGTTTTATGGTTGGTCACGGATCCTACAGGCAAAGAGTCCTACTAAAATATTAGTCATGAGAAAATATCCCTTATAGAAACTTTGTAATTTATGCACAGAATTAAAATGCTTATAACAGGCAGCATGGAAATTCCTGTCTCTTAGAAATGAACTTGAATAAAATTGTAGAAATGTATGTAGAGTGGATGCAGACATACATGAGGGTGGTTGCCATCATTTGGCATTTAAACAGTTATTGATCTAATCAAAATTTTGAAACTTCAACTTAAAAGTGTTGTTGGCATGACTGAATTAGACTAAACAGCATGCATTCTTAACAAATCTTTCTCTCCCCCTACTCCTCATCCCCTTCCAATATAATTGTGATTTCTTTTGTAAATATTTATGACAAGGTTTTTGTGTACAGCAGTTCTCTGAGAATTTTTGGCATTGCAATAAATGTGTATTACGTGGGAATTTTAAATTCTAGCCCATCTTGGTTGAAAAAGTTATTTTTGTACCAACATGTCACTTAAGAATAGTCATAGCTCTGCTCTATGAAAACTTTATGCACTTATAACAATCAAATATAAATTATTTCTCATTAAGTCTATTAAGCACTCCACTCTTGTCTGTTAAAATAGTGAATATTTCTTTGTAAAGAAGAATTAATAGCCATTAAAATACAAATTTTGAAATTGTAATAATGTTGGCCATATTTAATCCCCCTCTCCTACAAATTTGCCTCCAGCAACATGTCTGTAAAATCAAAAGTATTTTCCTTGTAAATGGAAATAAGTCATTAAAAATATAAAATTGGAAATGTTGGTTTGTGTATTGTTTTCTTTTACTATCATAGTCCTGAGGATAGTTGTCTTATTGAAGTGCCCTGTAGGTAGAAGTTTTTATTCTTTGTTGTAAATTTGAAATGGTTTGAAATTATTTATAATGGAAATCCCATTAGGCTGTTAGCAGTAATTTTGTGTGTATGTGTGTAAATATGTGCTTTGGAATGAAATTGCATGATGTGGATAGCCTCAAATTGTTAAGGGGGGAATGTGGTACCTGTGTAGTGTGCATTGGCATTTTTGGTTGGTGGCTAATACAGTGCATAACATCACTTCTGGAGAAATGGTGGCAGTGACAGATGCAGGACTGAACCTACAGATGCCGGAGCCTTATCAGTAATGCACATGTAGGGGAAGGTCTGTCCCTGTTCATGTGTGTAACTTTATGTTGCTGCAATTGGTGAGCTCGGCTGATTTCTCCGATATTGACTTTGTAGACATCGGCGAAGGAGGAAGGAGGATGAGGTGATTGGTCCTGGAAGGTCATCCATGATGGGGAGTGGAAAATCTACCTCAGGAGGTAGTCCCCAGCCCCTAAACAGGGACGGCACTGGAACAGATTCCTCAAAGGGAATACAGTTTGATCTAGAGGCCACTGCCTTTCCCCCATTACCAGGGTTGGAAGGAGGAGCTGGTGTGAGTTGCAAGAGCACTCCTCCAGTTGAGACTGTGCAAGTGGACAGTTCAAGTTCACAATGGGAAAATAGGTGAGTTAGTATCAGGCATTTCTTGTGAATGTAGTTCAATAGATTTGCTGTTCTGTGTAACATTTTCATCAGGATGAACACATGATCATCTAAATATTTACGTCCAAGGGCATCAGACGAATTCAGCGTAAAATAAATGTAGAAAGATGTAAAACATTGTTTATATGTTGCTGTTTATCCAGAATGTCCAAGTGAACTTTATTTTATCTGTTTAGTTTTGCCTGAACACTCATCTTTAATGTATGGATCAGCTGTGTGTGAGAGCGCCTTTTATATTAAGTTGCAAAGTCTAGGAAGAGTGAAGGCAATTTGGCAAAATGCAGCTCAGTTCTGATATCTGGGACTAAAAATCAGCACTCTGCAGAAAATGTTTTGGAAATCTGTAAAGTGTCACCAATGCTTGTGCAAGAAGGCAAATTCTTTGTGATTTGAAAGTGAATGAGATATTGCATTCTGTAATGTATGTAGTTTCCACATAAATTATCAGTATATGAGATTCAAAGTTTCTACAGCTGTGAAAAATATGGGTTGTGGCCATAAGGGTTATGTTGTATAGTCTTGGGAGTGGAATACCATGTAGATGGAGGCAGTAGCTTTCTTCCAGATGTTGGTAACCACCTACAAGTCTGCGTGGCATTATAGCCAAGAAGTCCACAGTCTAGAGTAGCAGTATGGTTTCGGGACTACATAATAAGGACTAAACTTTTGTGTAATGTTGAAATTTAAAAAGAAATAATTCTGTTGTTAATTGAAGTTGGCTTATCAGACATAAAGTTCTCTCCCACTTTGAAGGGCATGCATCCACAGTTTGTCAGAGCTTCTTGCCCACAGGCTTCTTATATTCCTTTGTATTGCATGGATTTTTACCATCATGCAGCCTGGATTCTGGTGAAGCAACTCTGCCTATACCTCCAGAACATTTTTCTAAGTACGGTTTTGTGTGTCACCTAATGCTTCATACCGTTACAGTACAGTACTAACATTAATATGCATTTGTGAAAACAGGCTGATAATGCAGCGTGATTTGTATTCTGGCAAAGTTGTTTCCTGCTAACTCCAGTGTGGATTTCTGCAGTGTTGCCAGTAATTTTCAAATTGCCCTTGTAGTAAAGCATTTGTTCTTGTTTGAATTACCCTTATGCAATTACAATGACATGAATACCTTTTGCAGGGGACTTTTTAGCAACTTAATCCATGTGTAGACTGGATTTTGATTAGTTACAATTCTATTAGAAGCTGTTACCACTGTCATTCAACATTTAGTCACAACTGGTGTTTAGTGATTAGTACGTGTGAGTAGTGTTATATTTTGCATTTAAAAGTAAAGTTTCCTAACAGTTAAGGCATAGAATGGATTTAGAAGTCTGTGCATTCTTGACCTTGGCTCTAGAGGGTTTAGCAAATCCATGCTTTGGACGTGTTTGCCTCTTACAGAAAGGTGTTTAAAATGTAATAAAAAAGGTAAATCATCATCTCATTGGACACACAAGCCATTTAAAGTATTTGAAAACATGTGAAAAACTTGTGTGTTTTATATTGTGCTGTAATTTTATGCCTTCATTGGATAAGCTGAATATTATGTCTTAACATAGAGTTCAGTTCACTACTTGTCCACCTCATATGTCAGTGTGGTATTTTATCCGATTGTATTCTGTTCTGTGTGAATGTTTCATATGTGACTTCAAGTTCAGGTTACTATATGTCACAGAAATATTGAATATGAAATATAACCCAAAATAAGAGATCTATGTCTCAGTCAGTTCCATGTGTTTAAATGTAACTTTGATAATTAAATTATATATTTAAAAAGACCGTGAAGTTGACAGGTAACGTGAATGTAACCAGTGCAAGGATTAACTATCATTGGTTGTGCTATTTGTCACCCACTGGTTGAGTTATTTAATTCAAATAAATGCAGTAGGGACCCTGCTACTGTACAGAACCATCTGGACTCCAGCATGAATCAACCACCATTGAGAGTTTTGTTTTACCAGATGTGTATATTTTCTTTCGTGGGTTGATGCATCTAGTGTTCTGTATTTGATCCTACTCATCAATATATCGTCTTACCCAGCAGAGACACAGTGGTCTAATTTTATGAATTAATCATTAACATTGTCAGGTGTGTCTTGATTCTGCACTATTGACCATATTTTTGGTTCCTTGTTTCTTTACTCTCTACTTTGTTCTAGATTTTTAAGGCTGATACTTTCAGTGATTTGTTCGGTTGTTCCGTAGTACTGCATGGTCTTATAAGCTTTTCTTATAAAAAGGATGACTGTTACACCACAGAGTGCAGCATCTTGTTCTAGTATGCTGTCTCATACCCGTATTGCTGAGCTGTTGGTGCATGTGCATGCTAGTACTGAACTACAGTGATAACTGCTGATATGAAAGTAGTGTCTACATGCATTTACATTTGTTAATGAGGTGATGGTTTTTAGTGTTCAGTATTAAATGTTTTCTTTCTTCACAGATGCCATGTAATTGCACTTAGGGCAATTTTTTGCTTTATTTTATGCATTATAGGTTGTCAGATGTCGTAAAAGGCACTACCAAACCGAAGAGCACAAACACTAAAGAAAAGGACAGTGGTGTACTTGTCTGCACTCCTCCACGCGCAGCATCACCAGCATCTCCTGTTCCAAAAGCAGCCTCTACTCCTGAGACAAAGGCACAACAGCCTCCAGCACCACCTCAGCAGACTAGTCAAGTTCCACTCCCTTCCCAAGCTCAATCCCCTGCGCCTTCATGTGACAGAGAAGTGAAAGATGTGGGGACAAGCAGTGACCCAGGTCTTCATACAGTCTTGCAGACTCCACCCCCTTCTCCAGATAAGTATGTTCATTTGTGTTGAAAATGTGTGAAAATTCCAAACATATCACTGTTGGTTACTAACTGCATTATTTGTTGTAGCATGTTAGATAATTTAAGCCTGCGATTTAGTATCAGCAATTTTCCTTGTACAGCCTTACACAAAAAATGTTAAAGAAATTTCTCACTTTGTTGTAGATTGTTTCTATACTGAAAATGCTTTCATCAGTCTCGAAGTATTTCTCGTCAGATCTGGTTGCACTGCGTTGAATTTAGTGTTCAGTGATTTACATGTATAAACTCTGGGTAATCCTCTCTCTCTTTTTTGTCTCTGTGTTACTTAGGTACAGTCACTATCTTTTGTGCCTAGGCGTCAAATGAGACACACAGCAAAACCTTAATTTTATTGTGCCTTGTGTGTTATATGTTACCACTTGCACCTAATAAAATTTAGAACATCTGTTGCTTTTTCTAGAAGTTCTGCCTGTAAATGTTATCCCATCTGTTGGTCCTTGTGGAGGTGTGCTTGAATGTTGTGTGCATGTAATGCCATAATATTTTCAGTACCTTTTCCCACTCATCTCCATCTAATGATGAAGTCAAGAATGAGTAGGAGCTATAGCTCCTCACCCTCATGACATTTAGTGGGACAGCTTTACTGTAATCTAAGACTGTTTCCCTTCACAGTTTTATCCACATTTTCATTCTTGTGTAAAATACTGCTTTATTTTTACTCGTTTTTAAACTGGGAATCCATTTATTTACAGGACAGTTCCTGTTGTCAAATGTATGGCTGACAAATCTACTAAGACTGATGATATTCTCCTAAATGGTGAAATAGTTGGTGTGAGTGGGTCTATAAGTAGCAAGCCTGGAGAATCAGTTACCAACAAACAGCAGCAGCAACAAAAACAAGCTGCAGCAAATGCAGTTACCTCGCTCAGCAAACCAGTGCCCACCACGACCAATGCTGCCACAATGACTAGTGCTGTGGTGGTGACAGATGTTGCACCAGCACCTGCCCGTTTGATGGTGGCCACTACATCCAGCACTGGCTCTGCTACCATGGCTAGCCATACCGCTCCGACTTCAGTTCCATCCCAGGCAGATGTTTGTTCTGCAACAGTAAGCTAAACTTGGTGTTTTTAAATTATTTATTTAGTTTATATACACCATAATTATGCAAATCCTGTGTCCCCAAATGAGATAGCCTCATCAGCCTCATCTAACCCTTCTTTGATCATGCTGTGATTTGGTGATTCTTGAAACAGCATTGATCAGCAGTTGACTGTTTACCAGGTACATAGCCAGTTGCTTTGCTTTCAAGTGAATCATCTGCTGCTAGACACCACAGGGTGACAAACTGGTATGTACTCTAACTGCTACAAGCTATAAAATATGCATACAAACAAAACTGTTTACACTGAAGGACACTAATGCCAAATGCGTTATGACCTCAAGAGGTCATCATCAGTGGCAAAAAACAAGTTTAAAATCACAAGATTGTGGTTTTTTTAACAGAGCATAAAGGTAAGTTCTTTACAGAACCATATTTAGTAACACTTCAGTGGATGTTGGTTGCACAGGAGTTATATTGGGCACTTAGCTATTAGTCCACTGGTCTGATGGCCGTTGCTGGTCTACGGTGAGCTGCTGTTATGTTGTCAGTGCCTGTGAACTTCAACAATGCATGGGCATTACTGTCAGTAACACATTGAAGTCATTTGAAGTTGTAAGTGTCACTAGCCAACATTTTATTCACTTGTATTGACCATTTTGTCTGCATTGTGTCTGTATTAACCACAGAAAAATTCTCTACAGTATGAATGATACAATGACTATGTACCACTTAACCATTCTGGACAGAAGAATTGCATGGCCCCACCCATCATGGGTATGTTAGGAAATGACAATTCAGCATTAGATATGATGTCTAGTAATGATAGTTTGATGCTGATGGTGACAGTGTAGCAAAGAATTGGAGAAAAACTGTTGGTAACCATTGGCCCTGGCACCAGACCAACATTCTTGGTCAAAAGGTGAAAGGACCAAAGTATATTCCACATGCACTTTTTCTTTCCTTTTATTAGTTTGTGATTATATAATAGTGTTATTTGTAAATTTAAAAGACGGTTGTACACAAACGTTCCTATCACATTCTCCAGATGGCCAAGAAAGAAAGTGGGAAAATGTTACAGTGAATGTAATTTTAAGACTGGCTGTACTTTTTTCTTTGGCTGTTGGTGGTGTTTGGTGTGGAAATTATTAAGGAAGTAGGGATTTTAAAATTGCTTTATACTTCAATTTTTCTTTGGTGAAACGTTGAATTGCATTTGCATGGTTAATAGTAATGATAGGGGAAGAGGTTGAGATTTTTATTTTGTGCTGAGTTTGCTGAGTCAGCGCATAGCAACATGTATGATATATTGGCTGTCTTTATATGTCTAGTGATCACTTTTTGACTCCAAATAGTGCAGGTCATTGTTTGTTTCTTCACATCCTTTTAGTTTATGCTTTTGATGGATGGTGTTGAACAGGATGCAGCAGGAGGTCCAACACGCCTGAGTTATGCACAAGTTGCACAGCACCACAAGGAGAAGGTTGAACGTATGTTGCGTGAAAAACAGAGCACAGAACAGGAAAAAGAAAAGGAGAGGGACCGGAAGAAGGAAGGAAGCACAACACGTGTAGTGCAGCAGCATGGTGATGTACGAGGTTAGTTGTTAAAGCCATGCTTGTAAATTGTGCAGTGACAGTGGGTAATCTCTCACTGCCTTGATTACCATGGTTCATTTGGTTACCTTAGTTAAGGTTAGAGGTCAGATTCTGATGGACAAGCCTGAATTATGCTATGCATACATTTCCTAATATGTTTAGGTTCTAAATTTTTAATCCTGCAGGATTTCTTGAGCTTTGTGTGTTA